AATGACTAGGAAATATCACATGACAAAACAATTTTTATTGCATTTTTGATTGGAAATTTTTTCCCAAAATTCGTCGTTGTGGCGCAGTAAGTTGCAGGATTAGGTGTCCTGCACTGTAATAACTTTGTAACAAAAATAATATTGCTAATAAAGACACATAACACTTTTACAATAACTAATTGGACTTCTAATAAAACCCTTAATAAACCTTTGCTGAAAAGCATACCTCACCTCAAATTAAGACCATACTAACTAAGGGACGCCTTAGTCAGACAGTGGAATATTTATTGCTTATTCTTAGGCTTTGCCAGCAGTACTTCCATTAGTACTGTAGAGAGAGATTGCGCAAGAGAGAGAGATTTGAGTAGGCTCTTAGCTGTGTGCGAAGATAGAGGCCTGGAAATTTGAGAACCCTTAGCTGTGTGCGAAGATAGGGAGATTCATATATTAGAACTTTTATTGTATATATTTATTGGACACAACCCGAGCTGTATTTGAATTTACACGCTCGCAGTATTTTAATATATACATTCTTAATTAATTGCTACAATAATAAAAATGAGAATTTATGGCTTATATTTATTTATTTTGCAGGATCTCAGTTCAATCAAAACCCTCGAAGGAAAGACGAGGTGGGCACAATGGTAGAATACCTGATTTTATGTTACATAACCAAGATGGAACAAAAACTAGTATTTTTACAGAAATAACAGGCCCTTGCAAACAAAATTGCAAAATCAAACCATATTGGGATATTTACAGGGCAGGAATCCATGTAAAAGATGCTATTGACAGTGATATAAGAAAAAATAAAAATTTAACACCAAATGAAACAAAAAAAATCATTATTCTTATTAATAGTTTTAATTTATGTGTATGTATTATGGAACTTTATATGCCTGAGTAGATAACAGTATATATATACTGTTATCTACTTACGTTAGACTGTTACCTACTTGTGATTAGACTGCTACCTACTTATGATTATACTGTTACCTAATTATTTTTGGGTACCCGTTTTGGTGCCTATTTGGCTTGATATTTGTTTCCTTTCGATGATGTTTTCGGCTTTCTTTGGCCATTTGATTGCTTTGTTCAGTGACGATTGGCTTGCTATCATGTCGCCTCTCGAGGATCCAGGCACAAAGTGCCGTTTGTGAGGGCTATGACCGAACTGGGTAGCATCCTGCAAATGTTGCATTGATCGAGTAGTCTAATAAATTAACGCAAAAAATAAGTGCACTCGAATTCAACATACAAGGCCAAAATAAGCATTTTCCTGGAGTGGTACTTATAGATGACCGTCAACACATGTTGATGATGGACACGAATGTTACATGGCGGAGTCTGATTTTTATGTGCACTTTTAGTGATCGTTATGGATTTCAATAATGATGGACTTTTGTCAACCCCCAAGACGAAGGTTGGTAAGCAAACTTTTTGAATCGCACTCAGAGCATTCGAATACCAGGTTTGAGGCACGAAGTGCCGAATTGTTATCTTCACTTGGTAATACGTAAAAGCACAAATTTCTTTATCTCTTCCTTATATTATTCTACCTTTACGTATTACCGCGAGTATGCTATGTTTTGGATCTCTAGAAACCTTCCTCGCATAGTCGATACTTTTGGGTATTACCTTTCCATGTTAAAATTCATCCTATGTTTTCTTGTTTTACTATCGAAAAATTTATTCTTACTTTTGCGTATTACTTTGGATCAAAAAATTGGATCATACTTTGACGCATTACCTTTACGTATTACTGGATCGAAAATTTTGAGTATTACCACATTGAAAAATTTATGAGTCGGAGACTCTGGGCTCTGCCCATTGCACTTTTGCGTATTACCTTTATGTATTACCGCATTGAAAAATTTATCACGCTTTTGCATATACTTTGTTCAGAATTATGCGACACAAAAATCCCCTATGTACGGTCCAGGTACCTTGTTATTATTTTCCCGCAATTATTTTTCGATTTGAATTTTTTTTTATACTTTGGGTTACTACCGAATCGAAAAATTTGATAAAAAAGCGAAACCGGGATTATACGTGGACCGAGTAGCTGAGAATTTATTACCTATTTGAATCTAAAAATATATTAAGTTCATAATCTATAGGATTAATCATTTCTTCTATTTCACATTCCGACCAGGGATGCAACCAGTCCTCACTATTAACATGTTTAATACGTTTTAATACATCGCCTCTTTCTCTTCTCCTGATTAATTTATTTTGTAACATGCATTTTTCTACCTCTACTAGTTCATGGTAGAATTTATGACATTCCCCATCTAAAAATCTCATTCTTTCGATGTATTTTTTATAGTCATCTGTATCTCTGTAGTCGCTAAATTGCCTACCCTCTTCTTCCCAACATTGTTCTTTAAGCTGTATCTCCATATATCTTACTGATACTGTTCTCCAATATTGATTTTTAAACTTTTCGCGCCTCATATGCAATTCAAGTTTCACTTCCTTATTCCAAATATGATTAATGCATAAAGCTATACTAAGACTAACCAATGGGAGTTTTTTAACGATTATTGCAATTGTATCCGGAAGCAGAAGTGGGTTATACGAATGCATGTTATAGACGCTTTATAACTAGGTAGGTGAGTGGAACAAAGAGGTATAAATTACATAGAAAATTCAAAACTTTAAATAAAAATCCGTTTGATTGAATTTTTTCGTGCTTTTATTTTCTGTATACAAAGCTATTTACTCAACACAAAACCTTCATTAGAATTCACATTTAAAATCGTCCGAGTTGACAAGATTATATTAGCTAATTATGGAAGAAGTTTCTCAAGGAATATACATACCTGTACGTGGCCCTCCAGAAATAAAACAAGTTAATGTTAAAAAAGGAGACATTTGTAAGATACTGCAAAGTGATTATAGTGATCACATAACAATTTTCGGACCAAAAGGCTTTGATTTGATTTTATTTTGTGACGATGATGGTCAGAGCAAAGGCCTACCTGTAAATCCACTAGCAACTCGTTTGATAAGTCAACGAATAGGGCAAGATGGAATAACTATTCCAGGACCTGCTTTATTATTAGACAATTATAGAAAATTAACTCTTGATGATCTCTGCTTTTTGTTGAAAGAACCATTTGATATAGAGGAGGAAAAAAAAGCTGTAAAAATGATGAATGATGCGCTTAAGGATCTAAAATCGCGTGGCATAAATCATACTATAATAATGTAATCTATATATTAATGATACAATAGAGTATGAGCTGTATCTTTTTTCCTTGCATCTCGTATAGGCTTAATTACCACCATATAACTGCAAGTATCAAAAAAGCGAGAACTGCATACATAAACTTAGGTGAGAATAGATTACTTCCTACAATAGGTATTATTCCAACAGGCAATATCTCGGCCATTTCTGTTTTAATTGTGTGGCTTTGATCATTTCCAGGCCCTTCAGGGGCAACTCTGCGAGTTATGAAATCGGTTTTAGAAACGGTATCTTCCGAAAAATCTTTAATCTCTACTATTTGTGAGGTATCAACATGGCTACCTTCACTGATAGAAGACTTCATATTAGTTGATCTTGAAGAATCAGGTATTTGAGGTTTTGCTTCATTGTTAGCCTTATTTATGGTATCACTGAATTGGTGTACATCAATTCTTTCTGTTTGGTCCATATTTTTTCTATGTTTTAAAAACTTACTAAAATCTGGCTTAGGTTTATCAACTGCAGAGATAACATCGGAATTTGCTATATTTTTTATTGTGGGGGCAATGGTGCTCTGTCCCTCATCACCTCCACCAATTATAGATGAATCAGAGGTTCGAAGCTTTGCTTCTCCCGATGGCAACTCTACCTGATTAGATAAGTTTCGAGATATAGTCACCAATTTCAGATGCTCCAGTTCACTGACTTTAGAAATTAAATCCTCCTTAATTCGTTCCAATTCAGCTAAATTAGATTTGAAAGATGAGATTTTGGATTCTTTTTTTGATGATTCCTTCTGGGATAAATCCAGCTCACCTTTCAACGACTTTATTTTTCCCTGAAGCATTTTTATTTCATTTATTTTTGCAGTAATTTTGGCCTTAGAATCGGCAAGAGAAAGATTTTTCCGAGCATTTTGAGAGATGAGGTTAGTATTTTCACTTCGTAACTGCTTAGCTACATCAGCAATTCCCAAAGCTTGATCACGCAATTTCTGAATCTCATTATTAGTTTTTACCAACTCACGATCCCAACCTTTTCTTTCTAGGGCCCAAGTCTTTCTTTCCCAGTCAAAACTTTTTACCCGACTGGAACATTCGTCCTGCAATGATTTATTGCAATCTTTTAAATTGGAAATAATTTTTGTGGCATAGCGTAGTTCTTCATCTATCACATTCATGTAGTGTGGAAAAAAGAATAAATATTAATATGAGTGCAAGTTCCTCTTTCCGAAAATATATATAATTTTTATCTTTCCGATATATTCTATATATTCTATATTTTTGATATAATCTATATTTCCGACATATTATATAATCCATTTTTTGGCACAGACATACTACTGGTTCACGTCAAATATTCCTCTTTCTGTTATATACATATTCACTATATTTTTGATATAATCAACTTATTCTATATTTTCGATATAATCAAATTTTCCAACTTATTCTATATTTTCAATATAATCTATTTTTCCGATATATTCTACATACTACAAAAAAATATATATCTCATTGCTATGAGTACATAATAATAATAAAAGGCGGGGAATGATACAATACTTTTTGTTCCACTACATGGAAAATTTTTTATCTGCAGATAGGGAAAATTTAATATATATATTTTTCTAGTTGTATTAATATTGAATGGAAAAGGCTTTACTTGATGGGATGCTATGGACCACTCATTCGCAGACGGATCGTCAATTAAAGCTCGTTTCATAAATCCATAAAATCAAATTTAATTTTTAAAATCTTTTAAAAAACAAGCAACACACAAAATTGTTAGTTTAAAAAAAGAACTTTGTCTTCGAAAAATACATTGGCAATGTGATAGAATGGAGAAAAATTGTAAAATGCGAGCTTTGATAATAGTGTAGGAAGTGGTGCGCGATGCCCATATTGTTCAAACTGTAGGCGTAGAACACTATCCATCCGTGAGTTGCAATGCTGGAATGCGCGAGGCTTTATAATATAAAATCGGACATCTATTGTCCATAATGTGTGGTTACAAAATCAAAAGATAAAATTATGTGTGTACTTGTAAGAAGACTCACATCTATCCAAGCTTGGTTTGGAGATCGACATCTACCAACCTAGCATCAAACTTTGCGATTGGGTTCAGGGCCGATAAAATAGAAGTTACGTATAGTTCGCATCTCCATGAAATTTTGAAAGATTTACACAAACAACTTGAATGGAGGAAATCCGGTCAAGAAAGATTCTCAAGATTAGTTTAATTGAAAAGACTCTACCATTAGACTTGGGATCCACAATGACATATTAATATTAAATTTATCTAAATTAACCAATGAACTTGTAAAATTAAAAATACTGCAGAGATTTCACAGCTATAAATTCTAAAGGGTCAAGACTATTTTCTTTATAAAATTCAATAATTGTTAATGTTATCACCATTTTCTTCTTCTAAGGAATCTAAATTTATTTATAGTCCATGGCTATTGATCTCATTGCCATCACCATGAGTGTTTCAATTTCAATCAATCTTTCATTCTTTCGAAATATTTTACTAAAACTTTTGATTAATTAGCAAAATATGCTGGATAATACAAGAAATTATTTAGTAAATAATGGTCGTCTTCTTGTATGTCAAAAGTTTATAACAATAATATTATATCCTTATTAGTAGAAGCAAGTTATAAATCGGTGTACAGAGGGGCCTGGAAGTAGATAGCGATTTGAAATGATTTCGTAAATTATAACATCAATTGGCAATTCAGTGAGTCCCAGAAGGGATTTACATGACACTGTTCACAAGGAGGAAGAGACCAAGATCATCTGGCAAAAGCAAATTCAGAGAGAAGTTATTATAATAAAAATACCAAAGTGATCGAATTATTCGTTAACCAGAGATACCACCACACAGAGTATTGTAGAGAGTGTTAATGCTATGGTTTATTCTACCACATTCTGATCAACAGATCTATTATCTTAGTCCTCGTCTCTTTGGGACGCAACCCCGAGAACAAATCAACTATGTTCTTGATAGAATTAAGAAGTTAAAAGTACCTGGAGATTATCTGGTGGGCAAGATAAAAATAATATAACTATTTGGTTTTAGTAATTTGTAATTATTATGAAAGTACTCCATGATCATGCCGTAGATACATGAAAGATCTAGTACTACCGGGTTGAATAAATCTCAATGATATGATCAAAGACTTATTATTTCCAGTATTTAAGCATACTTTTTTCTGGGTCACAAGCGTCAAGAATATCTTTGCAATAATATTCGCCCTTTGTCATGTATGAATTTAAAGATACCACTTTATTATTATTTCTATTTTTTGTTTTTTCTAGGTTTTTAATTACTTTTCTTTTTGATGAATTTCATAGATAATTCTCTCTTTCCTTGGGCAATCCGCGAAATATCAAAGGAATAATCGAAGTTAGCAAGGAATTCTCTGAATTTTTGCAATATGATTTTACCATTTCCGATAAATATTGGCTATTTCAGCAAATAATATTTTGAAAATGCGAAGAGATCATTTTGCTGCTTTGAAGACTACTTTACTAATGAAACTGACTTATTTAATTACACCAATAAATTGGAAAGCTTTAGAAATTGAATAACTCCATAAATGACATCAGGCTTGGACATAGATCGAAGTGAAATTAAAGGTATATTATCTATACATTTTCTGGACTAATTAAGATCTATCTAACTAAGATTGAGTCAATAAATTAATCAAGATTTAATTTGATTCGATTCAGATCTGTATTACATTTCCCAATACATACAGAATATACATATAGAAAGCATATGGTATAGGTAGACGTCTCTACATTTTTCTGTATTAAAATGCACTTTCATTATTGTGTACGGAAAGGATTCTGGACAATAACGTGAAAAAAGCAACTTCAACCGCTCCTATATGTAGCTCTTATGTAGAATATTTTGGCTTAGAAACTATATCTGCTTTGCATAATATTATTTTGAGTTAAAGTTTCGACAACCATTTTTTTCGGATTTTTCAAAATGTCCTTTTTTATTTCCCCAGGCCAAAAATATTTCCGTATGTATTTATTCCACATCTATCAAGCATTTATTATATACATAATTTTTTATAGGGAGCATATATTTTCTGTTTTATTCTAGTTATACATAATTATAAGCACATTATTATTATTATTATTATTATTATTATTATTATTATTATTATTATTATTATTATTATTATATCAATTAAAATATCCGGTTCGAATCGAATCGAGCCCAGCCTTTTTGAATTCGAATAATGATTCGACTCGATTCGTTCGGAGTCTTAGTCGAGGAGCAAATAAGATGAGAGCAAATATAATTTTTCAAAAATCGGAGAGAAACAAATGAAATAGAATGTGATGAGGAACAGTGTTGGAATTGGACCTGGTCCAATTGGACATATTTCCAATTGGAGATTGTTTCACAAATAAGAACTATTCATTTCACTGATTATTATTATTATTATTATTTATTATTATATCACAATTTCAAATGAAAAGGCTAATAAATCTAGTTGTTATGCTTTTTGTAACAAATACTACAATTTTTAAGGAAGAACATAAAAGTGAAACAATTTGTTTTTCCTGCAATATGAGAATGGTGCATTTTTATTTATCAAAATAAATATATTTATTAAGCAATAAAATGGTGAAAAAAGCAATTTTGAGTTAATACCATTCATGTAAAATACATATTCAAAGTTGAATTTAGTTATGATGTGTTACACACATATATATGACAAGGAAAGAAGATCACAAGAACATAAGCTAATCAATCGCAGACAACATGACCAGAAACTAAAAATGAACAAAAAGCAAAAAAAGAAGAGCAAACAATCCATCAACAATTAAAGAATAATATATCACACCGAATTTGAAACAATGAATAAGGAAATATCCCCAAAGAAACAATTGGGAAATCAGATTCAACAAATTCAAAAAGTCCAAACAACCAAGTCAAGGCCAAAGTCAAAGAAGAATGGATTTTTTGCCTTTGAATTGATTACACCAGTTATTCTATAT